AAAAAAAAAAAAAAGACAAGATCACACTCTGTTGCCTGGACTAGAGTGTAGTGGCCTTGTCATAGCTCACTGCAAGCTTGGACTACTGGGCTCAAACAGTCTTCCTGCCTCAGTCTCCCTAGTAGCTGGGACTACGGGTTTGCACCACTACTCATGGCTGATTTTTGTGACGTGTTTTTTTACCATAATAAAAAAAAAATTACTGGCTCTGTGCCTGTGGCTCAAGAGGCAAGGCGCCAGCCACATACACGTGAGTTGGCGGGTTCGAATCCAGCCCGGGCCAGCCAAACAGCAATGATGGCTGCAACCAGAAGATAGCCGGGCATTGTGGTGGGTGCCTGTAAACCCAGCTACTTGGGAGGCAGAGGCAGGAGAATCGCTTGAGCCCAGGAGTTGGAGGTTGCTGTGAGCTGTGATGTTACAGCACTCTACCCAGGGTGACAGCTTGAGGCGCTGTCTCAAAAGAAAAAAAAATTACTCTTAAATTATAAAAAAAGCAAAAAAACCGGAGTGAATTTTGGATCAGGCTCATCTGGGTTAAAATCTTTGTTTTGCTTATTATTGGTATGATCTTAGGCAGGTGGGCTTAACTGCTCTGACCCTCATTTTTCTCGTTCAGGAGAGGAAGATAAGAACTCCCCATGGCTGGGAAGTTTGAGTGAGCCTGTGTACCTAACACACTTTACACAGTGCTTGTCTTTTATTTATTTATGGCATCGCACAGCTCACAGCAACCTCCAACTCCTGGACCCAGGCAATTCTCTTGCCTCAGCCTCCCGAGAAGCTAGCACTGCAGGTGCCCACCACAATGCCTGGCTGTTTTTCTGTTGTAGTTTGGCTGGGGCTGGGTTCAAATCCACCACCCTCGGTATATGGGGCCGGTGCCCTACCCACTGAGCCACAGGGGCTGACCTTTTTTTTTTTTTAATAGTCTCCCTTTGTCGCCCTTGGTAGAGTACCATGGTATCACAGCTCATAGCAACCTCCATCTCCTGGGCTTAGGTGATTCTCTTGCCTTAGCCTCCTGAGTAGCTGGGACTACAGGCTCCCTCCAGAACGCCTGGCTATTTTTGTTACAGTTTGGCCAGGGCCTGGTTCAAACCCGCCACCCTCGTTATATGGGGCCAGCACCCTACCCACTGAGCCACAGGTGCTGCCCAGTGCTTGTCTTTTAGTATGGTTCGTTGACTTTTCCAGAATCTCCCAACAGAGCCAGTCCTTAGACTCTGGGTTTTACTCTTAGCCCAATCCTTTTTCTTTTCTGTGATGCTGACTCTGCCAGTGCTTTCTCTGTGTCTACCAAATGCTATATTGCAAACAGTGTGCCATGAATCATGGCTGTGAGAACTGGGCATTTGGCAGCCTCAGAAGTGTGGTGGAATCTTGTCCTTAGACTTGCCTGGGGCTGTGATGGGGCTGAGGAGCAGGGTGTGTTGTGGGCCCTGAGAGAAGAAGGGAAGTGGTTAAGGCACATGCTGAGGAGCTGGATTCTTGCAGTGCCACTCCTGCTGGACCTGTAGTCTTGGGCATATCAGATTCAGTTTCTTAAGGTGTGACTTTTTTTTTTTTTTTT